TAATCTTCTACCTCTGCACATCAGCATCCCTCAGCGCCAAGGCAACCTCTCCTCTTTCTGTTTCCATGGCTGCCGAACTATCGGTCTCCCACAGCAACATCACTTCCAAAATGATGTTTCCTTTTCTTCCCCACACACAGAGCATCAGTGCCACTCAGAGGATGAGAACAGGGCTAGAGTCCAACATGTCTGTAAAGTCAATGTAGAATGTAACGTGTTGTTTTGTTGAGGAGAAATGAGCCATTCAATCTGCAGGCTTTTTATAAATGGAATATTTCACTCTTTGATACAGAGCATCGCATTTCAATTCAAATAAAAAAATACATTTTTGGTCCTAAATGTCATTTTATAGCAAGCCCACACGCATGCATACTCACACACTAACACACACACACACACACACACACAGACACACGTGCCCTTGCTATGTCATATTCAGTCTCAGTTCCGGTCAGGATTGTTATCCCGTATAACTTTTCTAAACAATAATGTTGCAACTCTGTTACGTGACTAATGATATCAAGCTTTTTACAACTGCTACTGCTAAAGTCTACTATAACCGCTGCTAAATGGTCATATCACTACTACTACTGCTCCAGCCATTTAACTATAGAGTAGCAGTACCACCACTACCACTAGTACCTTTGTAAACTGATTCGTAGGAGTTTGGAATGCTGTTTTCTGAAAGGGCTGTTCAACTGCTGTTTCCATAGCGACGTCTCCATCTTTCTTTTGGGCAGTTAAATCCATCAGGTCTTCGCTGGCAACAGCCCAACATCCAATAATTTAGTGTGAGTGGAAAGAATTCAGATCTCACACTTTGAAAAGAAGATTGCCTCCATTTTCGTTATGTTCAGTTTGAACAAAACAAATCAAGTTTCCCCATTGATCAAGGCATTTAGCTGAAGATGTTATAGCAACTAATTTATACATCAGGCCCAAACGCCTTTAATGTAAATAAACAAAGATATTGTTGGATAAATAATTACAATATTTTTAGTGAAGTTAAAATGTGATATGAATTAGCCCTAGAACAGATCTGTTCTGCTCATTCATCTAACTTCCTTCAGTTTTTCATGTATTCTTCACTTTCTGTAGTTGTTTTATTGTTTATTATTTGGCTTTAATGGTGCGACACAAACATTTAGAGTATATATGTTTAAGATTTTCCAGTAACAAGTAAAAAATGTTCAACTGTTCAAGCTGTGGTGGCAGTGATTGTTCATATTTCCACTAGAGGGCACACATCACATATCAAGAGCCATTTTTTTCAACTGGAACTGAAGAGTACATAATAGAGCACACAACAATTAAATTATATAAAGAAAATGCAATAACAACAGTGTCTTCCCGTGTCATTCTTTATTTACAATCGTTGCCGTGGTTACATAGGTGTTCTGAGAGTATTATGGCCTTGTACACTGTAGGCATCACAACAGTTTTGTGGCTGGTATCTTTTTACATGTGCTTTGTCTAAAATGAAAGTGTGGGTAATACAGAAGAGCTGAAAACAAGACTTATAAATGCAGTCAAACTGATGGAAAGTTACAACGTATACATAAGTAAAAGTGCAGTACTTTTGTGAGAGGTTATTTAAAGCTCATACACAAAAAACAATGTATTTGGCCTTTTCATTTCAATTTAATTTATTTTTGTATAGCCCTAAATGACAAAAGCAGTCGCCAACACACAGAAAATCAAACCGTTCAAATTCAGGAAATGGAGGAAAGGCCTATTATTATGTAGAGTATTATTATTTCTTATAAGTTTGGCGTTTTTTCTTTTGTATTCTCTCATTATGCTCCCTGCGAAATGGAACCCTCTACCTGATGACCTGATCGAGTGTGCGCTGACTTTGCAGCACACCCAGGGAATCTTTTTTGCAACTTTATAAAGTAAGGAGCAGCAACAGCTCATACTTAAAAGCGTTACTTTAGTTACACAGCTTTTTACGCTATCATTACGTAATGTTAAGTGTGTGAGTTTTATAACCGTCCTCACCCATGTTCTGACCCTTTTGTGAGCAACAGGCCATAAAACAGTTTGGTTTTATTGCTGTCTAAATTACCGACTCTATAAAAAGGCGGGTTAAATGGCGAGTGGCTCTGATATACCAGCCTGTGTCGCTCAGTGTGGAAAGAAAGGGCGCCTTGGGGGTTTTGGCCAAATTTCTCGAAGCAAAAATAACCTCATATATTATCCATTTTGATAATATTTTCAAAATGGATTTTTAGCACTTCTTTTTTTGCTCCTGTATCTGTACTTTTACTTAGGTAACAAAACATCTTCCAGAACTTATCAAATATGTGAAATACCCTGTTCTGAAGCTGAGCCACAAACACTGAAAACGATGTAAAGGTGCTTTTCGCTATAACAAGATGACGATTGTAGATTAGAATACACTTTGATAAATGATATACATTGGCATATATTACTCTTTGCAAACAATATAATTCTTATAGTTTTTTGCGCAATGTTAACAACAAGTTACAACAATACAATTTTGGCAAGAAGAGAAACTATTGTCAGAGGACGTGGGCTGAATGGAACAAAATGCTACAAGATGGCGCATGACCGAACAATGTTTTGGCAAAGAGGAAGTCGCTCAAACACACCAATTAGAAAAATAATTTGTAGATCAACTTATGTAGAAAAGAAATTATAAATAAGTTACTTTGAAAATAAAATACAACGAATAATGTACACGTTATTTGGCTGCGCGGCGCTCGCACAAACTCCACTCCTTTGTCTAAATGCTGAAATATTGGTACGTTTTACAATAGAGTAACTCAAACATGAATTCAGTATATACATCTATAAGAGGCATATGTACAACTATGTCAAAACAATAGACAAAAGTGCAATTATAATATTTGTAATGCAGAAGCAGATGGGAATTATTGAAGGGGTGACCTGACGCTGTAATATTTTTGAATAATGTACAGTTTCATGGTGACGGTCAAAATTGGGATGAAACCAAAATCAACATGCATAAATATACAGTTCCTCACAGCTTAAAACTAAAAGTACAGGCTTTGTGCAATGACAAGGTGCCAAAATTAATACAAAAATTTAAAAATATGTTGTTTGTAAGGCATTGCTCAGCTCACTGCGGCCAATGGATTTAACAAACTCTATTTGGGTTGTGTTTTTTTTAATACATATTTGAGTTTGAAGCATACGTCCCGTTTTCACCAGCCCTACCTGGCCCTAGTCTACTCTAACACAACCAGGTAGCGTAGTGCTGAGTACGATAAAAAAGTACATGGCAATGGTTAAACAGGGCTGGTGGAAACGCTCCCAATTGGGTTACAGTAGACCCAAGCAGAGTAGAGCAGGGCCAAGGAGGGCTGGTGGAAACAGGGCTAGAACATGGAAATCAGGAGAACGCTGCACTGATGAAATTTGACATTGGAAAAAATGAATTTACACAAAAAGTGATGCAACACATTTTTGTTTAACTCTTTGGCGGAATGATAATTAAAAAAAATAAGAAAAAAAAAATACTGCAAACATATTGACATATTTTGAGTAGATTTGACAGCAAAAAAAATCTGACATTAGATCAAGACTTTTCAACGCAAAATAAATAAATAATGTAACTTGACTATGAACTATGACAAAAATGATTTCACTTGACCAATCTAAGGGACTCAAAGTGAGAAAACAATAAATTACATGACCTTAGATAATTCCTTAAGACAATATTTTTGTAGTGTAATATCACTAGTGAAAAATTTTGTGATTTATGGGGAAATAGCAGCAGCCTCTTATTGTCCTTGAGCTGAAGCACAAACATGACATGAATGAGCACTGTTTTTATTTTTTTATTTTCTTGATTATCTTGATTTGAGCACATTTTGATTGAAAACACAATTTGCCGATGACTTAACATAAAAAAATGCTGCTGCTTATGACCATAGATTGTTTATAAAGAATGGACTGACAGAGGGATGACGTCACCATAATGTTTGTCCAATGAGGAAGAAGCTGATTTGAACATAAGCTAGCTGGAGCCAATTTCCTTATATGGACATATGTTCTGATGGCGTTAGCTTCGTGCAGTAACAGGGAGAGATGTGTTTTAAAGATGGTTGCTAAGGCAAGCTGGAGTTTCCCCCGCAAATGAAGGCATCTCATCTGGCTCATATCTGGATTTACAAAGAAAATATCAAAATATAAACACCAGGATTATTGAGAGTGCTAACAATTTTTTTGTTAGGACCAAAATGATGAGTGTGACACAAACGGTTATTGGGCTAGAGGAGTTAACGTTTCAATGGAAGTCAATAGGAGCTAGAGCGAGTTGGAGCAAAACTTTGTCCATGTGCACTTCTCTGTTGGGCTTCATTGAGCTAGGGGGTTAGCATTGTCTTACTATATACAGTACATGTTCATGACATAAAAGCGGCTTGCTCCATTTTAGATTTTAGAGTCAAATATACCCAAATCAAGATGCATTTTCCTAAATTAAAGTCCTATATTGTGTCCTTTTTTGCAGTGCGAGTGTGTTGCATGTGTCCAGTGTTAGCTTACACAGCAAAACATGATAAAAGTAAAAAAAGTTTGCTTGAAGTAAGTTGATTAATTGTCATAAACACATGATTTGCCAATGGAACAAGCATATAATGTCTAGTTTTACTTAAATTAAGACAACAGCAAGAAATATACAACTCAAAATTAAAATAAAGCCGTTATTGTTCCATTGGCAACTCTTGCTTTAAAGGTGTATAAAAGGATTTTCCCAAATTTTAGGAAAGAACCGTTTTCTCCACTTTTTGAACAAAACTCTCTGGTCTTATTTGATGAGCACGTATCACCATGATTGAGAGGACCAATAGTCTCGATGATCCACCTGGAAGTAGAAAATCCTCCTATATACCATTAAGACAGTCAGAACTCAGCAGACTCAAATCAGGCATTCTCTAATTCGAGCAGATATGACGTCATGTGGTGTGATTTTTTTTGCAGTAGCAGTTTGAGGGCTCCAGGATGCGACTCTACTGCAGGTATCGGTAAACTTTGAAGCAGTGATTTCCGGAGTCGGCCACAGCCACGTGTCCGTCTGAGGTGAGAGCCAGCCCCTGGGGTCCGTACAGAGGGTCCGCAGACGTGTTGATGTAGGACAGGAAAGAGCCCGTGCTGTCGAACACCTAAAGACGAGACCAGACAGTTTCACTATAGAGCTGTTAAGGGTGATGCCTGTTCTCATTTGGGACACTTAACTTTCAAACCATTATTTACTACAGTACTTCCTGGACTATAAGCCTCTACTATTTTAAGTTATTTCAGTTGTTGATCTCCAAAGTCGATGACATAGCACAGGTTCCTACTTCCCAGTGTGTTTATGTGAACAGCAGTATTAGCAATATTGGGAAGTGCAGGGACAATACACAGATTTTTTTTTTTTCTTTATGTGATGAGGACTATAGTCAGAGCAGAGTTTATGGACTCCGTCAAGTTTAAGTGGGAAAGTTAATGTCAAAAATAGATTGGATTTACCAGAATGTGGTTTGTGGGAAAAACAGAATTGATAATTATGAATAATAAATATAGGTACAACAGCGTGCTCCTTTTTGATCATTATCATGTCTCTATAGTAGTTAGTACATTTTAAATATCATTATTGATCTAAAATGGTGTAATGAAAGAAACAAGTCAGCACTCTGTACACAGAACAAGTTAGCAATCAGCTGATTTTCTTCCACCCCTAGAGCTAAAATAACAAATAATGCTTGTATCACATATTCAGAGAAAAACCATGAGAATGCGAAGCAAATAAAATAGTGCCTGTGTCTCTGTGGCAGTGGTCTTATGAGCTAGTCTATAGATCTCTGTAAAAACAACTTCGAGTTTGTGAAGGAAAAGTTAGAACAATTATAACATGGTGAAAAGTTCATTTTGCACCTCACATTTTAGCACACATATGTCAAAGTCAAGGCCCGCAAATGAATGATCTATGGCCCCCGTTTTTCACTATTTTCATGTTCTCAGAAGTCTATTATATCTTTAACTGTATAATATCTATGGGGATTAGTTTTAGAGCATATTTTATCGAGCCAGCAGGGAGCACCAGCGCTGCCTCTGGATGTTAATAAACATTGAACCAGTCCGGCCCTCGGCTCGCAGCAAATTTGTTTTTTTGGCCCTCTGATGTATTTGACTTTGACATGCCTGTTTTAGTCTATTATGTACAACTTAAAACCAATGAAATGAAGGGTGTTACCTGTATTCTGCTGTTGCCCCAGTCGGCCACAATAATATTCCCATTAGCGTCAACAGCGACCCCAGTGGGAGCGTTGAACTGTCCGTTTCCTTCACCGTGAGAACCAAACTTAAACAAGAACTCCCCATCGGCATTGTACACCTGCAACAAACACGGGTTAGAATCTAAAACTAAAACTAGAATCTAAAACTACTTCTTCAACTACTAGAACCATGACTACTATTTACCTTTACAGAATGATTGTGAAAGTCTGTCACAACAATCTCATTCTTGTTGTTCACAGCTACAAAGTGAGGACCTGGAAATCAAAGAAAACCCATTCAAAATCATCTTTTTGTGATACATTTGAAGAGTTTATGATGAGGTTAGAGCTGATATGGTTATTCAAATCTCAATATCATTCAACAAACCAATACATACTTAATTGTGCAGTTACTAAAGGGCATAAAGGTGTACAATACAACTTTACTTCCACCTGCTGGCTTCCATGTTTTTTCATGCTCTGTCAGAAATGTTCCACAATATTTCCTTAAAGCTGGGGTACCTTACTTTCAAACCATCAAAATCCAAATAACTTCACATTTTTTGGCCTCTGTCACATCTTTAAATCAGATTTTTTTAGACGGAAAAGGGAGACCACTCACTCAGTCAGCCAATCAGCTCTCAGCTTACAAAAAAGAAAGACAGCAGCTTGTGGTATGATTTGTTCACAACATTTTACTTCTCTAAGACTCTTTCTGTTACTGTATTATTTGTTGAAAAAAGTTAGGTACCCCAGCTGTGATTCCTACACATTTAATGTCATGAAACATTATAGGCAAAGGACACACAGTACTTGCTGGACCATGAGGCTCACCTGTACGTAAAGCGCATCAGCGACATTTGAAAAGAAAGTACATTTTGTCCACGTGCAGACCTCACGTGACATTACTCATTTTTATGTTGTAATGTAACACAAATCTGTTTTTAACTGATCACAACATTGCACTGTTGATTTGTGATGTTCAAAGCACTCTAATAATTTTTTTTTTTTTTTACTTGGAGTAGCTCTAACAAAATCAGAAAGCAAACAAAATTGGCTGCAAAATCTGCCTCCAGTTTCAAAGAACTTGAAAAATGTAGCAACTTATACAGTAGTTCAGAAAGTACTGTAAATGAGGAGAAGCAGGTGGAGGATCTTCTGTCAGAGAGTGTGTATGTATTCCTTGCCAAATAATTAGTCAAAAAATATCTACACAAAAATAAAATCAGTATATGTCATATTCTTACTTACTTTAACCCTAACCCTTAATTCTTTGTTCTATGCACGTTGATTGTTAGTTGTATGGGAGTTGGGGGAGAAACCATTCATGGTAGTTTTACACAAAAACACAAACCACATGTAACTACTTTAATACAGCCTAAAAACAATCACAATTATCACATTAAATAATAATAATAATAATCATTTGATCTGTCTACGAGGGTCAGACAGATGCGGAGGGTTAGACAAAGGGCACTGCACCGGAGTCAGCAAGGCCACACCAAAGTACTTACTGAAATTTGTGCCAGTTTTATTAATATTTGGAGTAAGTTTGTCTGAATTTTGAAACAAGGAGGAAAAACAGAAACAACAACAGAATAAATAAGCAGTGAGAAATAAACGTGACCAAAGCAAAGCGGAAATTCTGAAATTATTAAAGAATGAAGAGAAGATGAGACAAAATAATGCAGATATAAAATAAGACCAGATGTAAACGATACAATCAAATAGAAACAATGACAAGTACATGTGAAAAGAAATAATAAATAACATGTGTTTTTTATGTACTACACTGTAAAAACTGATCAAATATGAAGTTATACAGTAGTTTTGAGTAGTAAATGTTGTCGTGTAATTGGTTTTTGAGATAAGCTAAATAATATATCAAGACATTGCCGGCTGCAAATGTAGCTAAAATCAAATAAAGCAATATTTAACTTACTTTTTTGTATTTTTTTTGCTGTATGTAGCAAAATTGTACCTAATACAGCCAAAGCAACATTTCACCTAAATACCTAATGCTTGAAAAACTAATGGAAATACCTAAATAAGGAAATATAATAAAGTCATCTTATAAAGTAAATTAGTTTAAAACCAGATTTGGGGAAATTAAATAAGAATACAGTATTTAATAACTTAGAATATGACACTTGTAAAATGTTAGCTGTATTTTTAATCATGATTTTAAAGATATTTCTAGTCCCTTCACTGTTATTGCTACAAACAGAACACGTACAAACAGGTGTTTTAAACCAAAGTGCAGAGACGGAAAAGCTGGATCAGTGCGACCCTAATATTTTTGGCAATGGTGTCATATATTTTCTTTTTTATCAGTTGAAATTGGATTCCAAAGTAAATAGGGGAAAGACAGAATGTAAGTGCTCTGACCTGCAAACTGTCTGTCGGACGTCCCTCTGCCTCCAAACTTTGTGACCAGTTTCCCGTTGGACTGAAAGATGAAGACGCAGCACGCCTTGTTGTCCACGGTGATGATGTGTCCGTTCTTGTCCACAGCCACGCCCTTCGGACCCATCAGTCTCCCAGCACCAATTTTGTTCTAAGGAATTCAATCAAGATATTATGTTTAATCATGTCATTTCTACAATATACTGCATCTTAAAGGAGAGAGATCCATCCCTTTTGCCGGGACTAAAACTTACATTTGTCACTCTCTAATCTGCAACTATTAGGTTTAAAAAAATCTCACATCTAAAGCCATCTTTTTGAGTTCTTAACCATCTTACAACCTCTTTCCCTCATCAAAAACAGACAATAATAATAATGATAAAATAACAGACCAAAACAGAGCTGGATTTGTTATTAGCTTCATCCATGCTAGTGTCACAATAATCTCTTTGCCCTTTTTGTCTGAATCTCAAACTTTGACCTTAATCACAACCATTTTCTGCTTTTTAAAACTAAAATATTGCTTCCAAAGAAGATAGGCCAATTTCTCCAGTCAAGTTACATGATTTACGTCAGAGCCTTTATCCCCATCGCTGTCAAACTGTACAATAAGTCACTTTAAGTCACTTGCATTAGGACTGAAAAAATTACACTAGTATTGACACTGTTTCTTGATTGCCACTTTTATTGTACATAATGTATCCTGCATTTAACATGTTTGCACATTTCTTTCTTTTGCATAATCTTGAGTGTTTCTATCCATGCCAGATGTGACATGTACATTTCTCATGTGTGAGATAAATAAAGTATATCTTATCTTATCTTATCTTAACTTAGACCTGTGTTTTCCTTTTTTTCCAAGTTAATTGGATGAACTCATGTTGTCAAACTTTATCCAATATAAAGCAGACTTGGAGATTCTTATCCATGCATTTGTCTCCAGTAGGTTAGACTACTGCAATGGCCTGCTCACAGGTCTGTCCAAACAGGCTGTAAAACAGCTGCAGTACATTCAAAATGCAGCAGCTCGAGTCCTGACTAGAACCAGGAAGTACGACCACATTAGTCCAGTCCTCAGGTCTCTGCACTGGCTTCCTGTGGCTCAGAGAATAGACTTTAAAACAGCTCTGCTTGTGTACAAGTCTCTCCATGGCCTCGCACCAAAATATATTAGTGACATGTTAGTGCCATACGAACCAGCCCGGACTCTGAGGAGCACAGGGACTGGACTCCTGTTAGTGCCCAGAGTCAGAACTAAACATGGGGAGGCTGCTTTTCAGATTCATGCTGCTAAAATCTGGAACAATCTTCCTGAAGATGTGAGACAGGCCTCCTCTCTGACAATGTTTAAAACCAGGTTAAAGACGGTTCTGTTTAGCTGTGCATACAACTGAGGGATTTTATAGTTTTATCTTTCTTTTTAATGTTCTGTGATTATTTATGATTTTAATGCTTTCTTGTTTTGTTCAGCACTTTGAATTGCCTTGTGTATGAATTGTGCTATACAAATAAACTTGCCTTGCCTAGACATAAACCTAGTTTTAAAGCTCAAAATCTGCAGAATTCACCTGTTCACCATTGTATGAAGATTCAAATGATTCTGTAAGTAAACTTTTCATAGAAATTATTTACTTTTCAAGAGTAACTTCATTTTTGACTTGCCTTAAATTTCCCGTCAGATGAGAAAATGCTGACCCATCGATTGTCATAATCCGCTACCACAATGTCGCCGTTTGAATCCACGGTTACGCCCGTTGGCCTCTGCAGTTGCCCGGGAGAACGACCTCTGACACCGAAACGCATCTTAAACTGACCGTCGTTTGAGAAAATCTGAAAGAATCATAAGAAAAACTCTCCATGAAGCCTTTGGGCAGCGGGAACACTAACATTCATTCTTTGATTCAGTCTCACCTGAATGCATTGGTTGTTGCTGTCGGCAACCACCACACGTCCGTTACTCGAGGTAGAAATTCCTTGTAAATTTGTGAACTCTCCTTTTTCTCTGCCCCGGGAACCTGACAAAACATTAAAACAAATCATTTCAAGGACTTCAAGCATTTAAGTGTTTATCAAAATCATTCCTGGAGATATGAACACACACATTATTAAGTTGTCAATAGTGAGGTACATTTAACCTCTGGACTCATTGGAGTTCTCTGCATAGACGTTTCTTAGCCTATAGAAAGCCCTCCATAACTCCAAAAATAAAAATCATTAAGACCAGCGTGATGAGGAGCTTTGGATAGAGACACTTATTGTTTACCGCCTTGGGGGTATGTATTAATATATAAATTAATAATCATGGTGTACACATGTGTAATGTGGGTAAATGTACGCTTAACAAGCTAACAACAGAATAAATAAAGGAATTTTATAATGACAGGCCTCAAGTTTGTCTAACCCAGACCTGGGCAAACTGATTCATGTTTCTAGAGCAGCCCTCAGACCTTTCCCAGCTGGTTAACATCATCAAAACCCATTATCAATAAAATACCTTCATAATGTAAAAATGTTAAAAGAAAAAACAATGGACAAAAATTCTATCGATGAGCTATAAACAACTTTTGACAAAAGCAAAAAAAACATCATGTATTTCGGTCCATATTCCATATTCATATCCATATCCCTCGTTGTCTTTTAAAAATACCTGTTTTGTCAAATAAATATTTTCTATCTGACGTAAATTGTAAAACAAGAGTGAATACCATAAAACGAGAATATGTAAGACCCAATATCCCAATAATCAAGCACATTCCACATTTGAACAGGTTTGAAGCCAGTCCCAGTCTCTTGGTGCAGACTCACCCACTCTGTAGATGAGCTCGTCCTCAATGGGGTTCTCCTTCTTCTTGGTGGTGCTGTACATACTGGAGGGTCTCCTCACGGCTTTCTGTCGGATGTGGCCCCCGGTGCCGCTCGGAGACTTCACCCTCCGCTTCACGTCGTCTGGAGATTGGGGCACGTCGCAGGGTTTGACGGCCCGCAGCCTGAAGGGACTGCCCCTGATGGGCTGGCCGTACAGCGTGAGGCAGAAGAGGTACTCCCCCTCCTGCTTCAGCGTGTAGCCCACCTCGTATGTGCCGTTCTTATTGTCCACAATGTCGGCCTCAGAGGCTCGCGTCCCGTCTGTGGAGGTGATCTCAGCTTTTAAAACCGCATTTCCCGTCCGCACCAACTCCCCGTCCTGCACAGAGCACATCACAGTACGTTTGAGAATGAATACGATACGAATGAGGTAAAAGAACATTTACTGAAATATTAAGACTAAAACTCAACCTTGATAACTTCTAAATAAATGCACACTAGATTAGTAAAAGGGGGTTTCTAACTATTGTTAAGAAAAATAGCTATAACTGTGTTAATGCACCAAAAACATGTATACAGTGATTTCTCATAAGTGACTTAAAGGACAGATGAGAACTAATTTCACTAAAACAAATAAAGACTGATATACTATAGTTAAGATTTGCCCCTACATTTTACCTTGTTTTTCTTTGTTCATTTTGTCCATCTTAAAAAGAGCTTGATTTTCAACAGTAAAACATGATCATAATCAAAATTAAACAAAATTCCCATTTCAACATCATTTTATTTGGTCAATATTTTGAATAAATATTGACTACTATTTCAAGCAATACAAAACTCCATACAGTGGCTTTCCAGAGAATAGGTGTATGTGTATTTGTGTATATATGTGTAAGTGTAATAAAAGTATAGTTGAGCCATACTTTGTCTTTGGTGGTCACAGTGATGGTCTGGTGCTGTCCTGTGGCTGCGTGCCGGAGCCCTTCTCCTGTGGCCACAGACGTGTGAGCTACAGCCGCCGTGGTGATCAGGACCCCCAGGTTCTGAATGGACCTCCTTAAACCCTCGGTCTCCACCTATATCATATGTTGTTTGTATAATATAGCAATACAATATAACATTCAAGTGGTATTATATTGACGACACAACAGTAAAATGAAAGTGGGTCCAACCTGACAGTCCAGATGTGCATTTTGATGTGGCCTGTCGGGAAAGTCATGTCTCGCCAAAGCCACCACTCTCTCACTCATCTGCTTCTGGACCAACAACACCTGCAAACATTCAAACAACACTTATGATACAACAATGGACATAATACAAGCAATGCCATCCATCCATCCATTTTCTTCCGCTTCATCCGTTGCCGGGTCGCGGGGGCAGCAGTCTAAGCAGAGACGCCCAGACTTCCCTATCCACACACACTTCCTCCAGCTCGTCCAGGGGGACCCCAAGGTGTTCCCAGGCCAGCTGAGAGACATAGTCCCTCCAGCGTGTCCTGGGTCTTCCCCGGGGCCTCCTCCCGGTGGGACATGCCCGGAACACCTCCCCAGGGAGGCGTCCAGGAGGCATCCGGAACAGATGCCCGAGCCACCTCAACTGGTTCCTCTCGACGTGGAGAAGCAGCGGTTCTACTCCGAGCTCCTCCCGTGTGACTGAGCTCCTCACCCTATCTCTAAGGGAGCGCCTCAGCCACTCTGCGGAGGAAGCTCATTTCGACCGCTTGTATCCGCAATCTCGTTCTTTCGGTCATTACCCAAAGCTCATGACCATAGGTGAGGGAGGGAACGAAGATTGACCGGTAAATTGAGAGCTTTGCCTTTCGGCTCAGCTCCCTCTTTACCACAACGGTCCGATACAGCGACCGCATCACTGCGCACGCTGCACCGATCCGCCTGTCAATCTCACGCTCCATCCTTCCCTATAATACAAGCAATGCTAAAAGCTAAATCTCTTGGAGGACAAATATGTTTGCAGGACCATGACCAGTCCCGTTTTTTCCAGACTTATTTTGAATCTTGCTTATTGTTTACCGATATATTGTTTCATTTGCATAACATTTAAAATAAATTCTTATCATCTATACTATACCGAAAACAAGATGTATTTGCAAAACGTTCCACTAAGAAGCAAGGAGAACATGCAGTGTTTAACATCTATTCCATCAAAATATTATTATTAAGCACTAAAATCATCTATATTTGAGGGATGCTTGAGCAAAACAATAGACAAAAATTCTATCGATGAGCTATAAACAACTTTTGACAAAAGCAAAAAAAACATATTTTGCTTTCAGAGATCTCAGACCCTTTGCCTGTAACATAGAAATGTTGACACAAATCACAAAATGCGGGTTATCGGAACAAAGTGGATTATCCCCAGGACAGTTTTAGAATGCACCTTTAATTATGATAAAACTGATACCGTTTAATAGCACTTTTCACTTTGTGTCATATGTTTCAACTGAAAATTTAAACATTTTAGCTCCTGCAGCACCCTATTTTCTATATCCTAGTGGCTCTTCAGATGCATGTGTGACGTGGTCCGGAATCGCCGTCTCACCTCGGTGGCGCTGCCGTGGCTCAGTGCCTGCTCCGTGAAGCTGCAGCTGCTCTGGATGTGCTCCTTCCCCTGCAGCAGAGCGGACAGCTGCGCCTGCAAAACCTGAGGACACAAAAAACCTATCAGTGAACGAGTCTATGGCAGAAATAGAGCAGAAAATTAATCATGCAAATGTTTATTGTGCGTGTTTTGATTAGGCTGAGGTCTTATCGGGTAATCATCAACGAATCAAATGAGTTATGAAGTTATTTATTATTCTTGTTATTAATTTACAGATGTTTTTGTTTTCAAGTCTCTCATAGCATTAGGATGTATGTGCGCTCAAAGTTTTATTGTAAGTTGTAAATGTGATGTATAAAGTATTTATTAAAAAACGCCAAAAAAGTTTGTTCTTTCCATCCTCTCAACCAAGAGTTTGCCGCAAATGGTAAAGTTTAAGATAAGATGAACTTTATTGTCCCAATGTAAATTAGCTGTGGGATACAGTGCTACACAGATCTGCATGACTGAATATATATAAAAAAGAAAGAATATTCCAGGAAAAAACAGACAGAAGTGCAGTAGTGCTTTGAAGTCTCTGATTGGTCCAGTTCTGCATCAAAATAAGTAATAAATTAATAATATCGGTCCTAGATTAAAAAAAAATAAAAAAACTTAAATAGCTCAGTGTTAGTTATTTTTATTCAAAGGTTACACTGAAGTTGGGACAAAGACAATATTTCACACTATACTTAAAATAACACTTTATACTTACAATTATTGCACATCTTTGCAACATCAAACTTTATTACAGATTCTAGGTCCGGGATAAGACACATTGTGCATCCAGTGTTATTGTCTGAAGTGTGGAATAGTGTTTTGTCCTCGTGTTATTGCTTCAGTCCTGTTGAAGCCGTACCTTCTGCTTGGCGCTGCAGATGTTTTCCAGGTCTGTGATGAGAGCGCTCTTGCGTTGATGCAGAGCTCGCTCCAGCTCCTCAAACGTGTTGGAAATCTCAGCCACGGCTTCACTCTTCCTCTCATTGAGCTGACGGGAAATCTCAGACACCAGCTCGATGGCGGCGGTCAGCTGTGGCAGCCTGAAAGCACACAATACATACAGTATATTTACACTCAGCCACAGTGATATAAACAATGTGTCAGTCATTAAAAAAAAAGTAGCACATTTCATTAATATTTTAGCTTCTAAATTTGAATGTAGGGGTCAGTTATTCTATTTATTGTTGAGTCGTAAAAATAAATAGAATAACTGACCCCTTTACACTGGCTGATACAACTGTGTGTGCCTTCATGGTATGGAGGTTAAATAGAGTGAGATGAAAATGAGATTATTCATATGAGATAGACCAAGCCAACTCTGTACATCTGGATTGGACAGTAGAAATAATGATCAGGACTAATACTTTTATAGATTAATTTCTGGACAGAAATACATCATCATCATCATTACAAAACAAAAAAAGTGATGTGGTCCGTTTTTCTTCCCACAACTTCCTACAACATAAGCGCTCTGTCAAACGGCATTCAACCCTTTGGCAAATATTTTTATTTTTATTTTATATGTTTATATTAGTGATTTTAGGAGTCCTCAATTTCTTTTACCTTTCAGAGATCTCAGACCCTTTGCCTGTAACATAGAAATGTTGACATCATAGCATCATCCCCTCCTTAATATGGACTAAACATGGCTAAAATAAGACTCAAGAGACATGTGTGAATGCGCCTGAGAAAGCATTTTTGTCTATCTATCTATTTGCTAAGTAAAATAAAAGTTTGTGGAAAGCTTGAGTATCAAAAGTGTAAATCTTTTGATAAGAAGCCACAGGGATAAACTCCAAATATGGGCCACTTCCTAAACCCTGCCCCCCTCCACATCAGATGACACAGTGCTTATCATGACACAGCCATGACGTATACCTGCTGTGAATGGCGTCCAGTTGAGTCTTCAGAGCTGCTTTGTGCTGCTCCACCACGTCCCGCAGTGGGACAGTCACATGCTCTCTGTGCTCTGCCTCCGTGCACTCCAGACACATGGCTGTTTCACACGACTCGCAGTAAAACTCCATCACCTGCAGAGGGCGCCACAGGACACAAAAGACATCCCAGAATGCATTTCATTTGGGATGAGGAGAGATGACCACCTGTCCCGCTTTTGGTTTTCCTGCACAGCCATTTAAAGCTGCGCAACTCTCAAATAACGAGATTAACTATGTAATACAACCCACCCAACTAGTATGCTTTCAAATAACACTAGATTTCACATACATGTATTTGCACATCTTTAGATCAGTTGTTTCACACCCATCAGAAATACTAATTTGGGGAAAGCAATGAAAACTTAATGGGCTGTTTTATGACATACATGAGCCTGGTCTTACCATACCATCGTACTCATTTAATTTCGTACTTAGAGAAATAATAATTGACTGGAGTATACGGATGGCTAAGGCCAGGCTAGACATAGAGTATTTTCCTCAAAGTAATTATTATGTCTATATCTAGTAAATCTATCGCTAGTAAATCTGTCGCAAGAATGCTTTTCATTGATTATAGTTCTGCTTTTAACTGCCTTGTCCCAGGTAAACTGATTGAAAAGCTCATGTCTCTCGGTTTAAGTGTTGCCATGTGTAAATGGATTTTTAGCTTTTTAACTGACAGATCTCAGAGAGTGAAAATCAATGACTGTTTTTCTGATGTTGTTTCTGTGAGCACTGGTTCTCCTCAGGGATGTATTTTGAGTCCTTTGCTTTTTACTTTGTACACTCACGATTGTGTGTCCTCCTCTGACTCAAACTTGATCATCAAATATGCTGATGACACCACCATCATCGGTCTCATCAGTGACAATGATGAATCCTCTTATAGAGCAGAGATACAAAATGTGGTTCAGTGGAGTAAAACTAACAACCTCCAGTTGAACGCATCGTAATCGACAACTCCCAGGTGCAGATCGTAGAGGAGTGCAAGTTTCTGGGTTTAACTCTGTCTAACGACCTGAAATGGGTTAAAAACACTGACCGAGTCGTTAAGAAAGCTCGTCAGCGTCTCTACTTTCTGCGTAAACTTAGAGAATTTACTTGTTGGTTCTGTGTCTGTGTGGTTTGGAAACATCACAGATAAAGAAAAGAGAGCTTTAAACAAGGTGCTCCGCTCTGCAAAGAGGACCGTGGGCTGTGAGCTTCCTGTTCTGGAGGTTCTTTATAAATCCAGACTTTTAAACAAAGCTCTTAGGATTGTCAATGACTCTTCTGGCCACCCTGGGAAAGCCATGTTCCAGCTTCTTCCCTCTGGCAGAAGATATCGCTCTCTGAGATGCAGGACATCTCTTTACGCTAACAGTTTTTATCCACAAGCTGTTATCAGTGTGAACAGAGCACTTTAATGATTTGCACTTGTTTTGAAACTGTTTTAATCGATCAATTTCACAGTGACATTTGTTTACTGTTTTATTTGTTTTATTTTTGTCTTTTAATGTTGTTTTATGTCTGTATTTGTCTGTGCACACTGGAGACTTTTGCTAATGTATTCCAATGTAGTGTTTTTACTGCAAATCGCAAATAAACTGAATTTGAATCTGAATCTATATTAATTCTTATGGGTGGTAATTTTCATTTGAGATTATTATTATAGGAGAAATAATCAACAAATGTCTAGTGATCAAGTGGAGACAACATAAGCGAAGGTAAAGGTGAGGGTAGTACCTTCCCGTCGTGGTTGGGGCAGCAGAGAGGTTTTCCAGCCACCGCGGCGCTCACAGACTCCAACACACTGCGAGCCTCAGGTCTGGAGCACTCGGGCTCCCGCTGTAAAACCTGATACACATCACACTGTTAGAACTCAGGACCTAATTTGTAAATATTAAAGTTAAAGAAAATAGTTAAAAGGAAAAGTTATTAAAGTTATCTCTAGCTTTCATATTCTAAAATGGGACATAATTTGCGTCTTTCTTTTCGAAGTGGGACAAACAAAGCAGAAGCTGTAGCCTTGTAGTGTTTAAAACGTAGGTTGTTTGCTTTTTGAATATTTTGTTTTGTGTTATAGAATTATAGAATTAATCTTGCGTTGATCGCTTAAAGGTATATAGGAGGATTTTCCCAAATTTTAGGTATGAACCACCCTCTCCACTATTTGAGGAGTGGAGAGGTCTTATTTGACGAGCATGTGTCACCATAATGATTGACAATTGGAGAACCAATAGTTTTGATGATCCACCCGGAAGTAGAACATCCTCCTATATACTTTTAAGAACTAATTCAAGCCACTAACCCCAAAGTTGGAGTGTTGGCTATTTCCATCTTTCTAATTTGTTTTATAAATAGTATTAAATATTGCTATTAAAAAATGTCATATTGAGGACATTTCCAATCCATGGACAAATTGCAAAACTTAAAGCTAATGAATTACATTTACTATTTAATGTAATTCATTTTATTAGTTATTTGATCTCAAAACAGTTTGGTTCGATCACACTCGTTTTCACATGCATGTATTTTTGACTCTCAGCCCAAATAGTCAGATAGTAACTCACAGGGCTTTGTGGTCTGATGTACTATTTAATATGAAACAAAAAAGTAAAGTGCCTAAGTATTGTTACAGATACTTCTTATCCAACAAAGTCTAGATCCAAAGAGGACACCAGCAATTAAAAAATCATTATGCAAGTTATGAATATATTTGCACATACGCAGCAACCTCGTTCTACCAAGACTTAGTGCAGTTATTATTATCTCTACATATACTACATAAGATGAGATAAGATAAACTTTATTGATCTCACAATGGAGAAATGTACATGTCACATTTGGCATAAATAGAATCCCTTAGGGTGTACAAAAAGACAGGAAGTGTGCAAACATGTTAAACAGATTAACATGTGCACGGTGTAAAGATGTAGATGTAAACATAAAAACAAAATCTAAATACTACATGTACTACATACTGTATACTAAAATGCAGGTTAGACACAAACCTCCATGAGATTCGTGATGAAGAAGTTGTTCTGCAGAGCTCCGACCCCTTTCTCCGGCAGAATGGACGTCTGGCGGCAGACGGGGCAGGACAGTGTCAGGGACTCAGGAGGAATGTAGTTCTGGAGGCAGCTAAAAAGACGCAAAACAAGAAACAAGGAAAGATTAGAGAAGTTTTATCTCAATAGCACTGAGCTGGGTGGAAGTGTGACAAACACTGGATACTTCTGATTCAAGAATGTGTTGTTGAATATAGATGAGCATTGTTCGTTCTATGGTGAGAGTTCCTCAAATGTTTTAAAGAAGCAAAAACAGCCGTAGGGAGATATGAGAAATGGATAAGACAACACCATACTGTGGACTTCAACTAAAAAACATTACAAAGACCACATTCTAACACACCTGAGATGTATAGCAATTACATAACATTATACTATAGTTAGAGTGTTCGCCATTTCCTTCTTTCAATTTTCAAAAAAATTGTGTTACTATATAAAATGTCATATTGAGGAGAATTTTTATGGTAATACAAAATGTCACAGTAATAACTTTACACAGCTCAATGACTCTCTTTATATAAAATGCCACTAGATTATAACAAATTTTAAAAAGGCCGGCCCCCTAAATGTCAAATGCATGGATCCTCAGTTTTAGCCACAGTCTGGGAGCAGCTGATGCAAGAGCCTAAACTGTCATGGTAGTAGCTTAATCAACAAATCTCCATGGTTTGTTCCTCTACTAGCAAAGTGTAAAAATGTCTTTAGCTAAATCCAGTATAAGAAAAAAGCATAATGATAATACTTCATAATTTGACTGATAGTCCTGTTCATACAGTTAGTTTGTTGTCTTGAAAGTATGAGTACTTGGTTTAGTTCTCACTGAAGTAAATACTACAAGTCTAGGCTAAATAAAAGCCTTGTTGAGCCTCTGTCATGGAAAATGTGTTACTTTGGCTATAATGTTCTATGAAATCAATAAAAGCATCTAATATATGGTTTCATTTACACATTTTCTGAGGCCACGTTGCACAGTGATTGTTTTATTTCTGTTAAAGAGCTTCAAATGTCAAATATGACCGCACTCAGATAATGTTAACAGCATGTATTATGTCTCAGGCGACATTCTGAGCACCAGTTCCCCATTAACAAGGTGCAATAATCCGATCGTCACGGCAACAGTCCCCACAGCTCCTCACTCATTGATTGCGCAATGCTAAAATAGCTGACTCTTCATGAGACACCTTCACATGGATCCTACCCCTGCATCAGCACTAAAGCTCCCTCCTCTCTCCTCTCTCCTCTCTGCAGTATCTGTAGATGCGCTTCTGGCCCTCAGCCCGGCTCCGGCTCCTCGCATAAAGTCCGAGGAGAAACCCTGACATCTCAGTCCACAGAAGGTGACGAAGACGAGGTCACGGTGAAGGATACCTGAGCGGCCGGTCCCTGCGGCTGTCAGCGGTCGACTCAGACTGAATACTAATGTAGACTGTGGAAGGAGGTCAGGCTTATGGAACCAACTTTACTGGACACTTTTAGGAAATAAAATGATTCTAAAATATTCTAATAGAAGGTCAGTGGTTGTTGTTGACGCCCGGCTGCTTCTGTTAAAAAAGCATGTATCTGTAAGTTGAAGATTTAAACTAGAATATCACTCATCACCAAGATCCATTCCTCTTTAAGGATCACCCAATTTTGCCTGTTCCTCCTCGAATTATGATACCCAAATGGAAATGCTTATTGTGTGGACATCTTGTGTCTGAGGTTGTGTTATGATGCCTCATTTGAAAGGTAGCACACACAAGTGAATTCTAATACTGATGCTGTTAAATTAAAAATATTTGAATCTATCTGAATATCTAAATTAATATGAATAAATGAATGAATAAATGAATCCTCCCTGTACAGTATAGGGAGGGGGATCCTAAAAGGGTTAAAAAGATTCCTAGATCCAGATAATAATCCAGATAATTCCATTCTTGTCCCATTCCAGAGATTTACGAAAAATTTCATTAATAGCCGGCCATGACTTTTTGAATGATGTTTCTTCAGACAAACAAACCCCAATCAAAACATAACTTCAAGAGATAAGTATACTGTATTTGAATAGTTAAATTGCAAAAACATTAGAAACATATTGCCAAATTGTGTTTTTAAAAAGCCCGTTCTATCAACAAGAAGGTCCTGGGTTTGATTCCACCTTCAGACAGGGCCTTTCTGATTGGAGTTTGCGTGTTCTCCACATGGGAAGGTTTCCTCTGGGTGCTCTGGTTTCCCCGACCACTAAAAACCTCTCTCAGCGGCCAGGACTCCCCTGAAAAAATTAATTATGATATACCAGTGGGACTCTGCTGGTTATATAACGGTCAATATTCTAGTGCTACACAAATAAAGTTGAGCACATTTTTTTTATTTTATACTGCCAATAACAAAACATGTTGACGTTTGCTACGTCAATACAACTTTTTGACGAATATTCAAAATGGGAGATAATGAATTTGTAACACGTGTATGATAGCAATATGAAAATGCACAGACATACTTTTATGGATTTGTAAACCCTAAAAAGTAATATCCGAGTCTTCTCAGTCAGCAGCTCCTTGTGTCTTTGTAAATTATGCAAATTAAATGTCATCAAATGCATTTCAAATTGTTTGTGCAGACTGAGAAACAATCAGTGAACACAGCAGGCAATGATTGTGTATGCATTTTACCTTTTTCCTTTCATAACTTGTGTGGTTGTGCTTTGAGGTTGAAATGAAAATAATTGTCACGTCATAGAAAATATGAAAAAATATCTGTCCCGTTTCACTCCTCAAACTACAACAACATTACATTATTTTCTGAAATGTAGAGCTTAGGAAATTTAACATAATTAAAGGTCCACAATAAGTTATTTTCGAAAATAAAACAGATAAGAGCTGTAGTGAAAATATTGAAATGTAAAGTATACAGGTGAAACTCAAAACTTCAAATCTGAAAGCAACATGTAGATAAAGGGAAAATGCAGAAATTCAGAGTGGAAGAGAGGGAGAAATTGCATCAAAACAGAGTCCTTCCTCCTCAGCTGCACAGTCACACACCTGTGCTCATCAGCATCACTTCACGGCTGCATTTAAACAGAGCATATATTGTTTGTTCAGCAACCCTCCTCCTCCCCATAACCACCACTTCAGTGGAGATTTGTCATGTTATCGACTCAACTTCCTTTGCCACCAGGGTTTAGGGCAGAAGGGTTTGCAAGCTCAAAATCTCTATTAATAACCTTCCTGCATACGTCATGCTGTATTTCCGCTTAAGTCTAAACGCTAAATGTTATTGAAGATGTCATGTTCAAATGCAATAAATATATGAGCACAGCCAGATCTAATTGTCTAATCATGCAACTACAATATACAGTACATCATGCAAACATACCAATAAATATGATCCTAATGCAATCTTTGTCTTGAGTCTTTCCATATTGAAATATCTATATGATATACAGTAGACTCAGTACATGGATATGCCAACCATATACAGCATTAGCTTCACGATGTAAGTTACAGAAGCAAATGGATTTTGAATAATATCCTAATTTTCCGAGTTTCACCTAGAATAAAAAGACCTTTGTGTCAGCATCAATGCCAAAGCAGTAGCAGCAGCAGCACCTAAGGTCACAAAGCCTTTGTACAGAGAATAGTGTGATTGCAGGCATAAAAACACGCCAGACTGCTTTACTGGGAGCAAAATGGGGCTAAACCCTCACGGCTGGAGCTCTGAGCAAAAGTCGTCCCACAGGGAGTCTCTAAACCAGGACTTACATCTGTCCAAAACACATTAAACCATTTTCCAAACTCAACTGTACAACTGGGATTAAACTCTGCACTATTAAAAACATAAACTGTCTTGATCCGGATTTGACCAGAATTTGAAAAACTTGAACCTTCTGTACCTAGTAACCCAGAAAATGTATGCTAAAAAGTTTGTCCTGATCTTGCTCAGAATGTTACAGAATTTTGACTGATGGTCATGAATAAATCTGTTTTAATAGTGTACGTGGGTTGTCTGTTATGTCTGTATTTATGTTCACTATTTGATAAAAAATGTAAATTAAAAAGAGATAACTGAAACCTCATGTCATTAGATCATGTCCAAAATAAGGCAGGTGAGCCAGTCATTGTATCTGGCCCTCTGCTTTGAGGCCCCAAAATAGACATTGAAATCCTGAACACAAGTTCAGTGTCATCCGGCCAACTTCAGCTTGGCCAATATAGACATGTGGTCCCTCGCTATATCGCAGTTAATCTTTTTTGGCCTTGCTGTTCCGTAGATTTTTTTTATTTGATTAGATTTTGTCGCAAAATTCAGTTTGTGGCACTAATGTAGCTGGTGAGAAAGTAAACAATTGTCATTTAGCCAACTTTGATGTCATCGCCCATTTTAAAGTTCAGAAAAGCCCAAATCTACTTTTACAATCTGGGTTATTGGTCCTTGGATTATTCTGTTGAACTAAAGTGGCCCTCTTACTAAAATAGTTGCATTAGATTCTGTGCAGCACTTTATCAAATTACCATTGTAATAAAATGGCGAAAAATCCTGGATTTTCCATCTGGATCCATCTTGAATCAGACAAGTTTAAAAAGTTGAAATGCAAGAAATGTATTAAGATTAATGTTGTTTCTCAACATTAACCAAAGCTGAAAGGAAAATGTGTTTGCTTTGCCTTTCATGTAAAGTTACCCTCTAGTATTAGTTACCCCCTAGTGACCCCAGACAAATGTACATATGTAAGTTAACAGCTAACAAGCCTTTTGCTCTTAAACTGTCATGATGGCCGTTCGCCGCCTGAATGCCTGAGGGAGTGTAGTCCTTGAGAAGAACCACAGTAAACTATTGTGACTATGTTTGTGAACAATGATGCCTCAGAGCGCGGACAGTGCGCTCCGTGATGTCTGCAAACGAACTGATCCTTTAGGAGCCGCGGAGGAGACCAGTTTATTGTTTATTGTGAGAAAGGATTTGACTCTTCTATTAGAGACATGTAAATATGGCAGGAATGCTTGGTACTAGACTGGGAGGGAGCTAATAGGGACAGAATTAGAAGGAAAAAAAAAACAATATTGTTTGGGGAAAAAGGCTTACTTAAAGGGGCAGTATGTAAGGTTTTGAATTACATCTACATCTTTAAATGTGGCTCAGATAATAGGTCAACATGTGTGAATCACATTTGGCCTTTTCAGAGCAAAGGTGTAAAGCAGCGATGTCAAGCTCAGGCCTGTGAGCCAAATCCGTCTTGTGAGATCATCATTAGCGGCCCCTCAAATGATTTTAAATTTTCATTATCGCAGTAACTTGTAGCATCGATGGAGTTGAGCAACTATGGCGTTTTCATTCTAAAGCCAATTATCTCAGGAAAACAATCATATAATTGCATCTGCTCTAAAATGAGATAAAGACGTCTTCTAATACTTCTGGCCCCAACCAGCACTTATGTTTTTTTAATTTGGCCCCCGACACAAATGAGTTTGACTCCCCTGGTGTAGAGTGTGAAGTTATTCTCAATTAAAATGGACATGAAGCCTGCACTATTTATGTTTGGCCTCATCATCTCCTAGCCCAAAGGGTCAAACAGTGACTCCTAGGGCTCTATCTAAAAAGTATCCCAAAGACTAAAAGGTTGTGCCTATACCTGCTATTGCATAACATTTCCCATTCAGTATAAAAAGCGATGTACGTCCCTTTAAAACAGCCCTTTTCACTCCACTAGAGCTGTGGATCCCTGAAGCTAAGTGCATAAAAAGACAGATGGTGTGGGGCGCTAGATATGATCTGTGTTTATAGCTAAGGCAAAACTAGCACATCCTGTTCTAGTATAACTCAAAACAAATGTTTTAGTTACCTCTCACAGAAGGTGTGCAGACAGGGCAGGACTTTGGGGTTTCTATAGTGATCCAGACAGATGCTGCAGACCAAGAACTGTTTGTCGATCTGCCGCACTACGGGACTGGTGCTGCCCGCCTCCCTCTTGGCCATAGTCGCAGACATTCAGATCCCCTCACCACCACAGCTGGAGACCTATGCAAAACAAACAAAAACATTTATTAGAAAGTATGTCTCGGTGCGAAGAATAGTCTCGACAACGTTTATAGAGCAGTGACAAGCAGCAAAAAAGAAAAAATAATCCCAGAGGAGGTACCAGGAACAAATCTGTCTAATTCCTTCAATGGGACAAAAACGTGCCTATTGTGGATATGGTTTTCTAGGTTAATACCAGAACAATGTGAGGAGAAAGTGAGAACTGTGTGAATAAAAGTCGGAAAGTTTTAGCAGATTTCATTCCAAACTCATTCAAAACTATAATCTTTTCACATTGCAAACACAAGTCATAATTTATTCTTTATGTGACGTAAATATAAACAAGAAAAGAATAAGAAGTGGACATTTGCAAATACCCATCTCACTGTGGCCCACTTTTACTCCCTTCTAAAGACAGACATCGCGAATTAGCTTTGGCTATAAACATTGTAGTGTTTCACATTGTGTAGCCCATCAAAAAATCAATACACACATTGAAAAAATGAATAAATAAAACCGTTTACATATCATGTAAATACTGTATTATGAGGTTATACTCATAAAAGTGGTGGGGAAAATCTAAACAATACAGGAATAGAGAGAATAAGAATAATTTTCAAAGACTTTAAAGAGGGAGCAGCTAATTTTAAACCATAAACAAATGTAATATGTGATAAAATGCATCTATCAGTTCCTCGCTCTTAAAACCGTTTGGTTCTATCATTAGCTTTCTCACGCATGTATTTATTACCTCTGTCACATCAAAATTGAAATTGAAAAAGAGAGGACCACCGTCACTCTAGTCTCAGCCCAAAGTGTCAAAAAATTACTCCCAACTACGCAATGATAATGGGTTTTTTTTTTCACATTTGAATTTTGTAATACATGTAACAGAAAGTTTATGAAAAAACAGAAAACAAAAATGAAACAGAAAGTTAGGTACCCCAGCTTCATACGCTAACAAAACTAGTAAAATCCATGCTAGTTCCCCGCTCGCTGGTGCTATGTGTACTGGGTGTCATCTCTGGCCACCCCCCCGACCCAGGAACGGCTTAAGGGGTAGAAGATGGACACTAACAAAACATTGCAATCTATTTCTGAAAAAGGATTTCATTCAGAGTGCACATAGAAGCTTTTATGTTAGAGAAGAGCTTTAAAATTACCCAAATAAACCAATAGAATCCCCTGCATCTGTAGAACGACAACCAGACTTTTATGTAAACGATTGGATGTTGGTTTTTTTCAGTCTATTTTTACCTTTTTTGTGGTTGAGATCAGCAATCCCATAATGCCTAATATAGAATCAATGTGGTGCCTGTGGCTTGGTACAGAATCCTCACACTTCAAATGCAGAATGACAGGTTACGAGACATCTGCCATCAGGTTACAAGAGAGACACTACATCATGTATTGTCCAACAGCTGGGATCACCGTTACCGCATTACTGAATGGAAATGTCCTTAATCTTGTGTAATCATAATTTGATATACCTCGGATGTCCAAAAGCGAATCCAAAGCTTACATAACCGTATCTCTTATGAAAATCCTGCTGTAACACACTCACACGGTATCTGCCTAGCAACAAGCAGCTCTGTCTCACTGTGGCCCACTTTAACACTCATCAAAGCGTTTACAGATAAGGCTTAATTACACCACTGTATTATGAAGGTACACTCTTAAAAGTGGTGGGGAACCTAAATAATATACGGACTACGTGGGACTAGGAGAATAAATGGACTTTTGACAGTAAATCAATAAAAGACGATAGCCTTATATAGACTTCAGTCGCATTGGTGCTTGAAAAAATGATTTTTATACTTTGGAACTTTGCAAAAGCAAGAAGAAGGCAAGGGAAGTGAATTTGTGTAGCACAGTTCATACACAAGGCAACACAAAACCATTAAACAAAACATTTAAATTACACAATGCATTAAAAAAATACATAATCACAGTACATTAAAAAGATACAATCCTGTTGTGTGCGCAGCAAAAAAGAACTGTTTTAATCAGGACTTGAACATTGTCAGAGAAGAAGCCTGTCTCATGTTTTCAGGAATATTCCAGATTTTAGCTGCATGAATCTGAAACGCTACCTCTCACCGGTCTTACTGGTTCTACGTTAAATAATGATGTCCTATAGGCGTTTTTTCCCCACTACTTTTCAGGTTTCAAAAAATATATACATGCATCAACCCTATTTTTATCTTGTGTTACTAACCGACTGAAACCATTTATTGGATTCCCTCAGTGGGTCAACATTCATAATTCATAAAGCAGACAGTAGACATAACCATATACAGCTGCATGTGGCCGCCTCCCTGCTCCTCACATAAGACTTTAACAACACGGTTAAAGCAGGACATACAAACAGTCAAATCTACTACAGATATTAAAAGACAAGATCGCCTACGTAGCCCTCTCTCTCTCTCTATCCCAGGCGCCCATCTGTCACACCAGTGCAGCGTAGACATACTATTGACCATTGTGTGTTGTTCCTTTAGAGGCTAAAGCTATAGAAGAGAAGCTCATCTGATATAAAGTGTAAGCCAACAGCGTAAAGGTCAGCGCTTAAGCCGACTAGCATCTGAGAGACAGATCTTATTCACGCTACAGAGATGGACAACAGTATGTCAGGAGTTACAGAGTCCTCATGAGTAGATTAGAAGAGCGAGCGTGCGGTGTCATGCGTGTGTAATGCCATGGTTTGTGAAAGCGACACAGCAGTGACATCACTTCTGAGCATCTCTGGCTCAAATCACAAAGCATGTAATGTGGCGGCGTAAAGGTGATTTAGGTCGATTGGATAAGGATTCTACTTCACCAGATGCTTGTTTCCATAAAGCTGATGTTGGGATTGGACTTATCTATCATGGTGGCGCAGTGGTTAGTGCTTGTGCTTTACAGAGAGAAGATCCTGGGTTTGTTGCACCTTTAGACAGGGCCTCCCCGTGTCTGCGTAGTTAAGTAAGTAAAATTAATTTATATAGCACATTTTACAGACCAAGGTCACCCAAAGCGCTTTACAATTGTTGAGAGTTTAAATATTTTTATATTCTCTCCACACACGGTGATGACGGAAGCGAGACGCCGAACACACAGGCGCATCAAAGCCCCCAACCATCATCCATTCCCTCACTCGTTATATTCATACCTAATGTACACGTTTTTAGTGGTAGCAAGTAAGTATTCTTTTTTTATATAGCGCCTTTCATAGACCAGAGTAACAAAGCACTTTACAGTTGTTGTGGGCATTTGTCTCTCACTCCACACAGAGATGGGAGCAGGGTTTCCACACAGGAGGCACATTTGTTTAGTGGTAGGGGAAACCGGAGCACCTAGAGGAGGAAACCTACACAGAGACAGAGAGAACATGCAAAGTCCACACAGAAAGGCCTGGAGATGGAATCAAACCCAGGACCTTCTTAGCCTGGCTCTCGCCAGACCCTTGTAGTTCCGCCATGCTCCACGAGAGGTGTTTCGCTTCACACACAAGGGTCTGGGATCGAGCGCATAGCAAACTCCTTCAGCAGATCAGAAAATAATCGACCAATCAGGATCGCCGGTGTTACGTCGGGTTTGCACTGCCTTCTCGAGCTTGTCTCACGCGGCAGCGAAAGCAATCCAAGATGGCGGACATGTCGTCCGTGGTTAAAAAAAAAGTTTAAATACGAACGAATTAAGACACGGATGTCACTTTTAATTCAATATGAGGCGAGATGTTGATGGTTCGATATTGTTATATTTGTGTTTTAAGAGTCAAATGCTTGTGTAAAGTTTGGTTTAAGCACTGGTTTAAGTGTTCCTGTTTACAACACTACGCAGCAGGGTTGCCAGGTTGAGTGGTTTCTCGCATACTTTTTTCTAAGAGACTTGTAGGTAATAAATAAACAGAAAGAGAATAAACAGAATCATGATAGGCCAAGTTTTCGCCAAGTTTTCAGCCAAAAAGTCATTCTGGGTATTTTTTTGGGGGCATTCTCGCGAGTTTTGGGTTGGAAAATCTTGCCGGCATTTGGCAACCCATGGGAGTCGTGTACTTCGATGTGAGTGGTTGAAGGAACTATCCGCTATGAAGGAGACCCAGACCCATGTGAGAAGCTCAGCGATCTACAAGGGTCTGGCGAGAGTCAGGCTAGGACCTTCTTGCTGTGTGGCACAAGCGCTTACCACTGCATCACCGTGCTGGCCACGGTTTCCTCCGGGTGCTCCGGTTTCCTCTACCACTGAAAACATGTACAATAGGTGTGTTTGTGAGAGGAACTGCAGGTGGAAATTAGCTACAAAAAGCTACAATCTGATGTAGTTATGCTTACGACTGTTCAATACAACAAAAGATACGTGGCCAAAACTGCTCATCAGATTTCGGGGGCTAAGCAGTGCTGGCCTGGTTAGTACTGTGATGGGAAACCACTATGGCAAAATAGTCACTTCACCCACGTCGCCTACTATGAGTTTGTTGAGTGAGTGAGTGGAGGAGCTGATGGCAGATTCTCATTTCTTCCGGTCCTCAAGACAGTTATGTCAACGACAAGAAAGTATCTGGTGGCACAAGGTCTTACAGAGTTCTGTGCACGCATAGGTTTCCCCTTAGCATTCCAGTTTCCGCGTTATTACACATGTGCACAAACTTTTTATCTCCCGAAGCCAGAAAAAGTGATCCTGATTGAATAAAAAGGTCAAGAAAAAAAAAAAACATTCATAGTTTACCACCATGGTATAGGGAATGAATCTACGAAAGTTCAAAAAAACACCATCAATATTTTACAAGCCTTTGTGACTGACTTTAAGTTCGCTATTTTCTCAATCGCTTTGCACTTTTAGTCAAACCGTGATTTCAATAATCTATTCATTCACTGCAATGTATTGATGCACTGCCTATGAGTAACCAGATAATTTATGTATAAAGAAATGAGTAATACATTTGCAGAACTTTAGAAATTCATGTAACAGCAACAACT